CCAATGTTTCACTCAGCAACACACATTTTGGGCTCCGTTGTGGTCATATGTCGAGGAGTAGCTGCACACTACAATCCTTCCTTTTGCCAGTAGCTGGCAAATATGTCTTGTACTGCGTAGCTTGGAAATCAAAGTCAACGCTTTCTGTGGGTGTGTGAAAGCGATTGTGTTTGCAACAGTGGCGAGACCGCATGCAGGTTAGTATCACACATCTGTCCTCTTCGTGTCAGTCATCCAACAGATTAACGAGCCTTCTTGAAAGAGGAGGTGTACGTGCCCATCCCTTGTGGCACGTTTTAAGCTATCCAAATCTTCACTTGTACAAAAATTGCAGCCCATGAAGACGTTAAGAAAGCAAAATCTGGCAAACCTCGAAATTTCACTCCATCCTTTTTTTTTTTTAATCGTGCTCATCTCTGTGTTATCATCATGTATAAAAGAGAATATTGCTAGTGGGGTTTTTTTTGCTTTGCAAATCTGTGCGGTACACCCCTGTGAATGGATGAACAAGAAAAACCAGTCAAAAACATTTGGAGAGTGGAACAGACTCCACTTTTGTTATTTTCTTTTTTATTAGCTACAGCCAAGAGTTGCTACATCAGGGGAGTCAAACTCAAGGCCCGGGGGCCGAATCCGGCTCGGGGGTGGTGGTGCTTAGATCTGGTCGATGGGGCTGTCCTAGAAACAGCAAAGGACCAGCCCGCGGTGCCTCTGCCAGAGAAAATGGAGCTCGGGAGGGCTGCATGCAGCTCTCCCAGGCTCCGTTTTCAGGTGCGACGGCCTCCTGCCGCCCTCTGCCAGTGAAAATGGAGCTCGGGGGGACTGCATACGTGTCCCCCAAGCTCTGTTTTCACTGGCAGAGGGCAGCAGGAGGCCATCACAGCTGAAAATGGAGCTCTGGAGCCCATTTTTGCTGGTGGAGCGCTTGGGCCACCACAGACACCCCTGACACGAGTGACGTCAAGCTGGCCACACCTACTCTGGCCCACAAGGTCAGACACAACCCTGATGTGGCCCTCAATGAAATCAAGTTTGACACTCCTGTCCTACAGAAACTCTTATTGAAGTTCCTTGTTCCACCCAACCTTTGGGTTAGCCTTTCCCAGAACAATCCTTAAAAATAACAATAGAATCTCTGCCTCATCTCCAAAAGGTTTGTCACGTTGGCTGCTGCCTATTGTCAGGTGGATGCATTCATGCTTGGTCCTTTGTTTGTGCCCAACGGGTCACACGCTGTGGGTGGACAAGACCTGGATGGTTCCATGAACAAATAGCACATCTTGCAACATCCAAGTGACATGTAAAAGGCAGCTTTATGCATGGATGGGCTGCTGGGGGTTCGCAGGGATTTGGGAGAACTCTAGCTAAGATTCTGTGCAGTTCGGAGAACCCCCAAATCCCACTCCTGGCTGGCCTCGCCCACCCCACCCCTCCCAGCACGGAGGCTCAGGGAGGGCGAAAAACAGGCCTACTATTCTTGCATGGTATGGGAGCAGCTCAGTAGCAGACAGAAAAGCTCTACAAAGAACCATTAAAACTGCCCAGAATATCATAAGACTCCAGCTACCAGCCCTGGACGACATCTTCGAATCTTGCTGTTTGAGGAAGTTGCATAACATTCTCAGAGACTCTTCCCATCCTGCTTACAATCTTTTTGGACTGTTGCCTTCTGGCGGAAGATACAGAACAATTAAAACTCGGACCACACGTTTTCCGAATAGTTTTTATCCCAGAGCTATCATTGCACTCAACCATGAACTAAAGGGACACCATCAGTGAGCTGTTGGACAGCATTACTTGGTCTGTTGTGTGGATGTTTGGGTGGTTTAGAGGTGGGGAATTGTGGTGGGTGGGTGGGGGGTGTTTGGGGATTGTTATGTGTGTTGGACCTGGTCTTTGGGTGTTAAGTGAATTTCGTCGTATGGGTATACTGTGTATACACGTAGAATGCAGTGGTGGGTTTCAAAATTTTTTACTACCGGTTCTGTGGGTGTGGCTTGGTGGGCGTGGCTTGGTGGGCGTGGCAGGGGAAGGATACTGTAAAATCTCCATTCCCACCCCACTCCAGGGGAAGGTTACTGCAAAATCCCCATTTCCTCCTGATCAGCTGGGATTCGGGAGGCAGAGAATAGATGAGGGCAGGGCCAGTCAGAGGTGGTATTTACCGGTTCTCCGAACTACTCAAAATTTCCATTACCAGTTCTCCAGAACTGGTCAGAACCTGCTGAAACCTATCACTGGTACAATGACAATAAAGTTATTTCCAGCCTCCAGAGGGCCTCTGGAGTCTGGGGGGGGGTGTTTTCACCCTCCTGGAGGCTCGAGAAAAAACTCAGGAGCCCGGGGAGGGCAAAAACATCCGTCCCTCCTGATGTGGTGCATGGCCACGCCCACCCAGCAACCAGGCAGAGAACCCCTTGCTAAAATTTTTGAAGCCCACCCCTTGCTTTATGTATTTTCAGATCATGGGTGTTCTAAGAAGAAATGAAAACTCTGGCCCTGCTGCACAATTATCACATTTTATATAACGTAGACTGGTTTGGTCAGCAGTGATGGATAAGATTTTTTTGGAAAGTCCTCATAGTATATCTCAAAAGGTGCTTTTTCAAAAGGCAACTGGACTGTTTCTTCCTTGAGGAAGAAAAACAGAACATTTCAACATCTGTGGAGATTCTCAGTCATCCAAGTCATGCAGTAGTGGCCAAAACTGTGGAAACCTTTTGGGAAAACTGTATTTCCTAAAACTAGCTAATAACACCACTTTTTTTTTTTGGGGAGTAGTACCATAAAATTATATATCAATGGAAAGACAATTTAATCAAGAATGCAATGCAATCACTTTTAGGAAGGATTTGCTATTAGAATAGCAGCTACAGTATAAAGAAGAAAAGTGAAACACGTAGAAAAAACACATATACAAAAATGATCCCCATGTCAGTTAATCCTTAGTTGGGTAACCTTTAGCATGAATGACGGCCTTACAAAGTCTTCCCATGGAGTGAACCAAGTCTTTTAATTCTGCAGCTGTTATCATGTGAAACCAAGATTGAATGATGGCTTCTATTAACTGGGTTTTATTGCTGGGTTGCTTCTGACTAACAAGTTTCTTTAGTCGGCTCCATAGATTTTCAATTATCTTGAAACTCCCCAAAAAAGTGGTGTTATTAGCCATCAAACCTCAAAAAAACCTCCCAAAAGGTTTCCACAATTTTGGCCACTACTCTAGTTGTCTCAAAAGTACAGTCCAGTTGCCTTTTGAGACAACAAAACATTTTGTTTTGTTTTTTTCTTTTCTTTTTTTTCTTGGATAGAAAAGAAATGTTTTCTTTTTCTTCCTTAAATAAAAAACAGTCCAGTTGCCTTTTGCAAAAGCAAACTGAGAATCTCCACAGACCTCTAATATATCTTCCCATAAATCTCAGGGGGGAAAAAATGACCCCTTGATTTTTAAGGTAGCGTGCCACTAACAGTTGTACATTTCAGCACATCATCTCTGTCATAATGGCTGGAAATTTGAATTTTAAAAAAGCTGAAATTCTCAGGAGCTGAAAGCGCCAAAGAAATACTGTACCAGAGCCTGTGTTTTTTTTTCTGTGCAAAATACACTCTCGTTTTTCCTTCAACCAGTGGTTACTTGTTTAGCTAAATGGAGATTTATTAATTCTTTATATGCAACCTAGACCTTGGAAAAGTGGCAGCATCTTATTCCACTTCAGTGTGCAGATTCTAAATTAGGTAGTTGTGCTTTCTCGCAGTGCACACAAACACATGCTAGGCATGCAATGTTTGTTGTGCAATTGAAATGTTGTGCATTAACATACTGATCTTGGTTCTTTATAAACCAGAGAGTTTTGGGACACACCAAGAAGTTCTCACAAAATGGTTAGCACAACGAGAGTTCTCCCAAAATGCACGTGGACTTTAAGCGCGTTGACTCATTTCAGTAAATTCCACATTCACAATGCCCTATCACAGTGATGGCTAACCTTTTTGCCATCGTGTGCCAGGAGTAGGGGGGTTGCGCCTGTGTGTGCCAACACCCATAATCCTATGCATCCTGCCCCCATGCATGTGTGCACGACCCCCCACGCTCCCCCATGACACGTGATGGCACGGTAGGCCCGTTTTTTGCTGTCCCCAGTTGGCAAATGGGCTGTTTTTGACCTCCGGAGGGCCTCCGGGAGGGGGGGGGAAAGGCCATTTTCGCCCTCCCCAGACACCTAGAAAGGCTCTGGAGAGAAAAACGGGCCTTCCCCACCACCTCCCGAGGTCCTCCAGAGGCAGGAAACAGCCTGTTTCCCTACTTCTGGTGGGCCCAGAAGGCCTGAAAATCAGCTGGCCGGCATGTGCATGCGCACCAGAGCTGAGCTCGCATGCCCAGTGATATGGCTACATGTGTCACCTGTGGTATGCGTGCCATAGGTTCGCCATCACAGCCCTATCATCACCCATCATTAAGCCCGGTTAACCTGACTGTAACCTGACGTCTTTATACCACCCATATGAAATACAGCTAGTCCTCGACGTACGACAGTCCGCTTAGTGACCGTTCAAAGTTACAACGGCACCGAAAAAGTGACTTATGACTGTTTTTCACACTTACGACCGTTGTGGCATCCCCGTGGTCACGTGATCAAAATTCAGACGCTTACCAAACGACTCACATTTATGACGGTTCCAGTGTCCTGAGGGTCACATGATCCCTTTTTTGCGGCCTTCTGGCAAGCAATGTCAGTGGGGAAGCCAGATTCATTTAACAACCGTGTTTAATAACGGCAGTGGCTCACTGAACAACTGTGGCAAGAAAGGCCATCAAACGTGGCAAATTCACTGAAATGTCTCCCTTAGCAACATAAATTTGGGGCTCAATTGTGGTCGCACGTCGAGGACTACCTGTACAATCAATCACCTGTGCAAGAGGAAAACCGACCGGATGACACCGAGGACACTTCAGACCCTCTTTGACTTATTTTCTCTCACCCAACACAAATTCAGAAATCTTTATCCATTTTGGCCAGATTTATTTAAGCAGAATATTTCAATCAATCTATGTTTTCCATCCTTTGCTGGGGGAGGCCTTAAAAGACTCTCTCTGTACACCGTAGGCATAACCATCCTCTCTTATTGGAAGGAAATTATATAAATTAGTAAGGGGTCAGAAAATGGTCCTCGGATGCTTGCATTTCAGATGCACCTTTTTGCCCAACAGGCTTTTGGGGAGAAGTTATGGACTTCGTGAGATCTTGGAGAAGGCCTCCCATTTGCTCCCAAGACACACTCCATCTGCCTCCTTGGTGGTGCCAGGAGATACCTCAGTCCCACCCAAAGTCCTGCCCTGTCATTTGATAGAACTTTAAGTTGAAAGGTCTGTAGAATTCCTGCAGGCGTCGGACAACCTGCAGGTCGATTTTGGGGTGCGGCCGTCCTTTGGACTTCCCCAAACACCGGGGCCTGCTGCTCCCTTCCGGTTTCTTCAAGCAAGGGAAACCCTTGGTTTCATTGAAGTAGAAGTGCTTGTCCGTCACCACGCGTTTGAGACCCAGAAAGTCTTGTACGCGGCCCATTTCCCCGGCTGGGTCGCTCACCAATCTCTCTCCGCTCACGAAGAGAAGTTTGGATAGAGGGAAGTAACGCAGCCAATGGTCCAGATGTTTCACATACAGGCCAATCCTCACCGCGCTCCACGTGGTATCAATGAGGCCCGTGCTCAGATTCTTGAAGGCCAGGTTTTGGAAGCTGGGGATGGTGGGGTTCTTGGAAAGAGTCTGTGTGTAATCCGAAATGGCCCGGGTCACGGGGTTACGAACCACCACAATCAACTTGGTGTCTCTGGACATATTGTAAATGCGCCGCGGGGCTTCCTTGGTCACAAAATAACTTGGCGTTTTCTCCATGGTGATCTGTCCTTCCAAGGTCCTTGGCATCAGGTTTCTGTAGGAATAAAAAGCCATACAGATTCCTTCAAATAAACACCTTCTATTTGTTTTTCAGAACACGACAACTGCAGGAGCATTGAATTGAACGCCTGAAATGCACTACCTGACTCTGTGGTTTCTTCCCCAAATCCCCAAAACTTTAAGCTTAGACTGTCTACTGTAGACCTCACCCCATTCCTAAGAGGTCTGGTAAGGGGCATGCATAAGCGCACCAGCGTGCCTTCCGTCCCTGTCCTAATGTTTTCTTTTATTCGTATCCTTTTCATGTATTTATAATTATGTTTACACTTGTATCTGTCATGAAATACATGCTTGATGAAATAAATAAATAAAAAATGAAAATGAATTTTATAGGAAAACTAAGTGCACCTCTGGGACTGGAAGGTCCAAAAAAATCCTTCCCATTTAAAGCACGTTTTTGGGGGCAAACTTTCAAAGACCTCTGGTATTGTTTCTAGTTGGAGTTTTCTTAAAAGCAACTTGGAATTTTAAACCTTGCATTTCTTTCGTTCTTTCGTTCTTTCTTTCTTTCTTTTTTTTTTTGAGAAATCACATCAAAGCCTTGCTTAAAGTAGGGTCTCCTGCTTGGGCGGGGGGTTGGACTAGATGACCTACAAGATCCCTTCCAAAACTTTTAATCTGTAATCTTTAAATGATGCTAATTGATACTACCTAGGCAGGGTCCCTCCCATTCTAATTTTCCATCAGAAATGTTGAACAAAATATGCACTTAGTGGAAGTTTTTTTAAAAACAGGAAATACAAAAAAACAGAAAATTTGTAATAATTGCTGATAGGATAGGATAGGATAGGATAGGATAGGATAGGATAGGATAGAATAGAATAGAATAGAATAGAATAGAATAGAATAGAATAGAATAGAATGCTTTATATGTGATTGGACACACAAGGAATGTGTCTTTGGTGCGTATGCTCCAGTGGTGGGTTGCCCCCAATTCGGACCGGTTCTATAGAACCGGTAGTAAAACCGGCGGGAGGCTCCGCCCACCGACCCCGACATCATCAGGAAGCTTCTGCGCATGCGTACGCGGCCCTGTTGCGAACCGGTAGTAAAGGTAAGTAGAACCCACCCCTGATATGCTCTCAGTGTACATAAAAGATATAAGTGATAAATCATGATCATAGTTATCATAAAAATACATTCATCACAAATCATAAGATACAACACTTAATGATAGTCACAGGATACTAAATAAGCAATCAACATAAATCATACTAGGAAACTAAACAAAACTATATAAGTTGTAAAGATACAAGCTACAAAGTTATAGTCATAAGTAGAAAAGGAGATAGGTAATAGGAAAGCTGAGAAGATTAATAGTAATGCAGATTTAGTAACTAGTTTGACAGTGTTGAGGGAATGATTTGTTTAGCAGAGTAATGGCATTTGGGAAAAAACTGTTCTTGTGTCTAATTGTTCTGGTGTGCAGTGCTCTATAGCATCGTTTTGAGGGTAAGAGTTGAAACAGTTTATGTCCAGGATGCGAGGGGTATTTTCACAGCCCTCTTTTTGACTTGTCCAGTATACAGGTCCTCAATGGAAGGCAGGTTGTTAGCCATTGTTACCAACCATTGTTTGTTGTAGCAAAAATCAAAAATAGTTTGATTTTATTGTCTATTTTTCTAAGGACATAGAACAATGGTACAAACAAAAAGAACAAATTTAAGCTTTGTTGTTAAGGTTTATTATGGCCAAATACTGGATATTAAAGTCCAGTGGACTTTATCTAGATCAATGGTATTTAAAAACTTAGAAAGAGGATGTAGAAATGTATTTAAAAATGTAGAAACAGAAAATTGAGCCCAGCAGCAAAGAGCCTTGAAGAATCTTTTAATTAAGCATGGCTTTATTCGCATTTGGTTTGTATTTTAAACACTTCAGCCAAGTAATTATTAAAAGATTTCTTCCTTTAAAAGTATATGTACATTTCTGTGCTGAGAGTGTCATGACAGCAGTCTTCCGATATCTCAGAGGCTGCCACAAAGATGAGGGGGCCAACCTATTTTCCAAAGCACTTAGAGGCAGGACAAGAAGCAATGGATGGAAATTAATTTTAGCGGATTGAAAAGCTCATGAGATTAGGGTGAAATCCAGCAGGTTCTGACAGGTTCTGGAGAACCAGCAGTGGAAATTTTGAGTAGTTTGGAGAACCGGCAAGTACCACCTCTGGTTGGTCCCAGAGTGGGAAGGGAATGGAGATTTTGCAGTATCCTTCCCCTGCCACACCACCAAGCTACACCCACAGAACCGGTAGTAAAAAAAAAATGAATCCCACTATTGGAGGGAACATCTATCATTGGTCTCAGGCATAGCAGAGTTGTTCCAGGATGGAACAGGATACTGGGCAGATTGAGCGCAGCCATATGTTTACTGGACTTGTGTCCCTCCTGGTTGGTGCTGGCCTCTCGGGAGGTTACACGAGGCTGGCTCCAGGGGATTATAAATGCTTCTTTGAGTGAGGGTGTCTTCCCTGCCGCCTTGAAAGAGGCGGTGGTGAGGCCTCTCCTCAAGAAGCCTTCCCTGGACCCGGCAGTGTTGGCAAATTATCGTCCAGTCTCCAACCTTCGCTTCGTTGCGAAGGTTGTTGAGAGTGTGGTAGCGCGACAGCTCTCCCAGTACCTGGATGAATCGTCGTATCTGGATCCGTTCCAGTCGGGCTTCAGGCCTGGGTACAGCACGGAAACGGCATTGGTCGCGTTGGTTGATGATCTCTGGAGGGCTCGGGACAGGGGTTGTTCCTCTGTCCTGGTCCTATTAGACCTCTCAGCGGCTTTTGATACCATCGACCATGGTATCATGCTGAACCGGCTAGAGGAGTTAGGGGTGGGGGGCACTGTCCTACGGTGGTTCTCCTCCTTTCTCTCTGACTGGTCGCAGTCCGTGTTGACAGGGGGGCAGAGGTCGACCCCGAGGCCCCTTGTATGTGGGGTGCCACAAGGGTCGGTCCTCTTGCCCCTTCTGTTCAACATTTATGTGAAGCCGCTGGGTGAGATCATCCGTGGTTTCGGGGTGAAGTACCATCAGTACGCTGATGATACTCAGCTGTACATCTCCACCCCGGATCACCCCAATGATGCCCTTGAAGTGATGTCCCGGTGCCTGGAGGCCGTGTGGATCTGGATGGGGAGAAACAGACTCAGGCTCAACCCATCCAAGACCGAGTGGCTGTGGTTTCCAACATCCCGAATATAGTCAGTTGGTGCCATCACTGACTATTGGGGCCAAGTCATTGGCCCCCACGGAGAGGGTTCGCAACTTGGGTGTCCTCCTGGACTCACGGCTGTCTTTAGAAGAGCACATGACGGCCGTGGCCAGGGGGACTTTTTATTAGGTCTGCCTGATTTGCCAGTTGCATCCCTTTCTGGATCGGGACTCGTTAAATACGGTCACTCATGCTCTCGTCACTTCCCGCTTGGACTACTGCAATGCTCTCTACATGGGGCTCCCCTTGAGGAGCACCCGGAGGCTCCAGCTGGTCCAGAATGCGGCCGCGCGGGTGGTTATAGGAGCGACGTGGCGCTCCCATGTGACCCCCCTCCTGCGTGAGCTGCACTGGCCCCCGGTGGTCTTCCGGGTGCGCTTCAAGGTTTTGGTTACCACCTTTAGAGCGCTCCATGGCATCGGACCGGGGTATTTACGAGACCGCCTTCTGGTACCAATAGCCTCTCACCGACCAGTACACTCCCATAGAGAGGGGTTCCTCAGGGTGCCGTCGGCCAAACAGTGTCGACTGGCGGCGCCCAGGGGGAGAGCCTTCTCTGTGGGGGCACCTACCATCTGGAACGAGCTCCCCCCAGAGATACGGAGGATCCCGGACCTGCGCACGTTTCGCCGTGCTCTCAAAACTTTTCTATTTTAGCAGGCTGGCCTGGCCTAACTCTCCTCTTTTAAATATTTAATTCGTGATTTTATAAATTGGGTGTTTTAATCTATGTTTCGGCCAAAATATTTAATAATTTTAAGGGATTTTTTAATATTTGTATTATCTGTATTTTATCTTGGCTGTTCTCCCTGAGTCCTTCGGGAGTAGGGCGGTATAGAAATTTGATTAATAATAATAATAATAATAATAATAATAATAATAATAATAATAATAATAATAATAATAATAGATAGTTGCCCACAGAAGCTAGGAACCACAGAATCAGAATAACAGAATAATAGGAGACATTATACCAGTGGTGAAATCTGAACCAGTTTGCTACCGGTTTGCTGGCTGCGCGTGCGCGCAGCGCGCAAAAAGACGGCTTGGGAAGTTAGGTAGAAGCGAAGGGGGGGGATCAGCTGCAGCATGGGGTTTAGCTTTGCTAGAAAGCAGGAAATCCTACTTTCTAGCAAAGCTAAACCACGCTGCACAGATGATCCTCCCACCTCCGCTGTTTTACTTACCTTCCCAAGCCTCCTTTTGGTGCGTATTGCGGATGCATGCGCAGTACGCACCAAAAGGAGGCTTGGGAAGGTAAGTAGAAGCGAGGATGGGGGATCAGCTGTTGCGCGTGATTTAGCTTTGCTAGAAAGCAGGAAATTCTGCTTTCTAGCAAAGCTAAACCCTGTACCACAGCTGATCGTCGGAAATACCAGTTTGGAGGAATCGGCAGCTTTTATAGCTACCGGTTCGCCCAAAGCTGAGCGAACCGGTAGCATTTCACCCCTGTCTTATACCCTAACCTTTTACTCACCGAGTGCCGAACAGGTACGTGCTTCGCATACGTGCGTGCCATCTGCGCTAACACATGGCTCCTCCCCATGCATTGTGTGTGCAACTGCACCAACTGCGCATGCACACAGCTTTCGTGTGCGCCCCCACCGTGCGCTGCGCACGCAATTGCACCATCTGCGCATGTGCGGTTTTGTGTGGCTCCCCCGTGCGCTGCACCAGCTGCGCACCAGTATTCTCGCGCACATGCAGAGAGCTCCGATGACCAGCTGGGTCCCCTGAATTGTGTGCATCACACCGGAGGCCCGAACACCAGC